CTCCCCTTGCAGGCACCCTTGGGGTGGTATGTTCTTTGCCTGCCTACCATGAACATTTGCAGGAGGGAAAGTGAGACACTTGAGGCAAAGTGTCCTGGTGTTCCTGTTTCCCAAACGTTAGCCAAAGGTGGTGATAGGCTAGAAATGAGGCTGTGTGACTTCATTTCCCCATTTTGGTTTGGAGGGGGGAATGCAGCTCTAGTTCCCGACTGGATGTTACTTTGTCCCACAAAAGAATGGAGAAGGGAAATTACAAAATCATCTTGGAGATCAACTTCCTACCCAAGAGAGAAATCCACTCTTACAGCATCCCTGAGGGATGGTCATCCAGCTTTTGTTTCAAACCTCCATGGGAGGAGAAGCCTTCATCTCCCAAGGCTTCCTGTTCCATTGCCGAACCTCTCACTCACAGGAGATCCTTCCTGATGTTCAGACAAAATCTACAGCCATTGTTTCTTGTCCCATCTTCTGGCACAACTCTGAACAATTCTGCCCATCTTCAATGTGACTGTCCTTCAGATACCTGAAGTCAGATACGGTGTTTCCCTGCAGTCCAGGCTAAACATACCTGATGCTTCAAAATATTCCTTGTAAGTCCTTGTCCTAACCAGTCCTGATTTTGCTTGCTGTCCTCTAGACATGCTCCAGTTTGTCCTGAAATGTGGTGCCCAGAAATGGACGCAGACTTCTAGGTGTGGCCTGATCAGGATGAAGAATAAACTAATATGAGGAAGGAAGGAAGGAAGGAAGGAAGGAAGGAAGGAAGGAAGGAAGGAAGGAAGGAAGGAAGGAAGGAAGGAAGGAAGGAAGGAAGGAAGGAAGGCGTTCTAATAGAAGCATTTTGGATGATCTCCATTAGTTGTGAGCAAGATGATATCATAAACATGCTTACACTGAGGAGAGCAGGGTAGGTTAATGGTAGGACAGGTCTATGCTCCAGTACCTTCTCAGCATTCCTCATATCTATGATCACATGAAAAAAAAGGCCACTTTTCGGGTCAAGTGGCAGAACGCCATTAAAATCATCCCAACTGCCCAGAACATTTGCAGAAAGCACCTTTTCTTTTGGCCTCACTTGAGCCAAGCGCTCTCTCTTTCAAATTGTCATTTGGTTAAAGAAATCTTAGTTAATTAATTGCATCCATTTCAGGCAAATAAGTTATTAATGAGCACATTAAGTCTGCATACATTTGCACATGAGGACAAAATCATAATTCTGAAAGGGCAAAAAAGTAAACTTCCATTTTTAGAAGATGCATATTCTGGCAGGGCTGTCATCACCTCGAGTGACATCCTCAAGTTTCTTTTACATATTCAGAGGGCAAAAGTGGTATCAAGGTCAGGTTGAACCAAGAGGTCATGGTCTTCAGCAACGGAGTTGAGCTGCTTGCTTCCTTGAACCCCTCTTTTTAGGCAGGATCCAAGGTCTGCTGAGATGGGGGACTTAAAGCCCTGATAGAAACAGCCATTGCCCAATTTAAATAAGACCCAAATCGAAGGATAGGCCTTTGCTAGGATGATACACACAGCAGACAGGTTTCACACATGCAAGTCGGCTCGCAGTCCCATTATAGATCTGTATTTAGACTAGCTAAGACCCCCTTCCCAAACATTCCTAGAGAATATTAGCAAATGAATTCCACGCTTCTGACGAAGGCGCGTGCCCACATGCACACACGCCTGCACGCACCATACGCCTAACCACATGGGCTCTCCCCCCAGAACAGAAATTGGGAGAGCGCCAGCTTTCCGAGTCAGTCAATGTCAGGATTCGCCACATGGGGGCGCCATCACAAGGAATATTTATGACGGGAAACTCAGCGCAGCTATTTCTGTCCATGCAGAAGTTGGAGGAGGCGAGATTTGCCAGCAGGGAATGAAAGAAGGATAAGAACAGACCAGAATCGCATTTAGCTCTGCATAGATCCTTCGGGACACAAGAATAAACCTGCAGAACCAGAGCAGAAGTTTACCGCTGACATACAGCAGTGAAAAAAAACTACTTTTTGCAAGTGAAGCAGTGTGATATAGACTAGTTGATGCCAATCTGTAGACTGTAAGAGTATCTGTTATTCTCAGATCCAAACTTCCAAAGAAAGCAGTGTATATTGGTACACACCCCCTCCCCAAACATGTATTTGCGGAAACTCTATTTAAAAACAGCAGGCATGTAGGGTTTAATTTGCTGGGGAAAGATGTACACGTGTACAGTAAGAACATAAGAACGGCCCAGCTATTTCAGGCCATGTTACTTCAGCCTTTTTGGGGACAACCATCTGCCTCTTTTGCTGCTCACAAGCAGGAGACAGAGACACCCGTCTTCCACGAATATTTCCTGCAACTGGAAAGCACATTCCCACAATGCAGAGGTAACATGGAGTCTTCAAGACCAACAGCCCTTGATGGACTTGTCCTCCATGAATGTATCCAATCCCCTTTAAAGCCATCCAGGTTAGCAACCATCACCACATCTTATGGTAACGAACTTCACTGATGAATTGCGTGCTGATGAAGAACGGCGTCCTTCCTTTTCCTGGTTCTGAACTCCTTTTCCAATCAGCTTCATTGCATGTCCTCCTTCCATCACCTTTTTTTTTAAGCTAAAGAGTTCCCAACTTGGTAGCCTCTTCTCATAGGGAAAATGACAGCAATTAGCAGAAATGAATGATAATAGCTCAAAATGGGAAGGAACAGAGTCATAAGCAGTTCCATGTGACCAATGACATGGGAATGACATAGACCAATTTACACGTCTCCATCGCAACATTCGTATTCCCCGGCATTATCCACCTGCATGTTGTTGCTGTTGCTGGAGACAATATAGAGTGTTTTTCACTGCAACTAATCTATAGTTGAAAGCCAGTTTGGTGTAGTGGTTAAGGCATCAGGCTAGAAACCGAAGATGGTGAGCTCTAGTCCCGCCTTAGGGACAAAACCAGCTGGGTGTCCCTGGGCCAGTCACTCTCTCTCAGCCCTAGGAAGGAGGCAAGGGCAAACCAGTTGTGAAAAACCTTGCCAAGAAAACTGCAGGGACTTGTCCAGGCAGTCACCAGGAGTCAAAAACTGACTCGAAGGCACACACGCACGCACACACAATCTATAGACCATCTTCAATTACTGGGGCCATGTAAAAATTTGAAGGGGAAAATGTGATTTGGAGTGTGCCCCAGGATAGACATCCATGAGAAGGTGCAAGTGATTAAACATCCTTCTTGATGTCAACTTGCAAACTCCACCCCCTACATTCTTGCTGTACAGAGGAGCAACTGATGTTCAAAAGCTCATATCGTCATTATCCGGACCTCATGGTTAGGGTCAATCTCCTATGTACATGGCCAAGGCATAGCACCCCTCAGGAACACTGAAACTGGACTCACACACCTGCTAGGTTGTAGGAAGTCAGCCATGATCTAACCAGAAGGGCGAATCAGGCCATCCCTTGAGGCTATGTTACAGCTGATGGCTTCAAATTGTTTTGGGGTGGGCATGGCATGTTACATAAAGCCAGTGAATGTGTTTATTGACCCCACTTGTGTTTAAGTGTCTTGTGTGAACTCAGCCCACATGGTGTCAGACACTGACTGTGATGTGGCGATTGTTCCACAACCGCCACAATCAGATACGCTCATGGGGTGACATCCTGATGCCGGAGCAAGCCTTGTTCCTTGTGGACACTTGGGGTAGGGAGAGGAAACAGCAGGAGATAAACCTTTTTGCCCCAGTTCCCCATGACCACATTCCCACAACTTGCTTAACCGGGATCAGATAAAGACCAAGCAGATACATATGCACAATATGTTAACCTTGGTGTAGTTTTTTGTGGGTTCACATGTTGTGCCAACACAGCCCCTTCTGTTGGTTTATGGCTCTTTGTTTTGTGGGAACCTAGAAAAAGAACTGAGTTCTGCAAGTTAAATCTGGTAAGTTAAGTACATTGTATGCATATAGTCAGACTAGGAAGACTGAGAGAAAAAAAGACTTTTCAAGGCAAATAACCCCGTGAAGTGGGTTGGAATTTAAATCCTAATTCCTAGAGTCTAAATCTAGCAGGGAGATAAAGGCGGAAAGTCATATTTTTTTATGGACAATGAAAAGTATCCAGAAAAGTATCATTCTGGATCACCCAAGCTGTGCCTGCCTACATTCTCACACCTGCACAACTATTACAAGGACTGGATCTCTAGCCTCCTTTTCCTTTGAGCATCATCTTGGGGAATCGTCCCAGAAAAGCCCCCAATCATCCTTCCTTTGAAATGGGCCAGGTTTTAAAATGAACGTTGGCCGAGGCTGGAAGCAAAGCGAGTTGTCCATAATGGCCATTTCTGTTGTTCTCGGTGGCTTTGCTAGGAAATGTCCTGGCCGCCCAAGCAGAGTGCCATGGCCTGTGTCTCTTCTTCCCTCTCCAGCACTTATTGCTTTGCTTCCCAGCACTCCCCCAATCTTAACTAGGAATCAATGAAGTCTGGAAGCTGCTCCTTCTTTCTATTTGTTTTTAAATCGGGAGGACAGCTCTGGCCCATGAAGAGAGAAGCAGCAGTTATACTGCAATACTTCCAAGTGTAATATGCAGAGGACAGCAAACAAAACCTCTTATCTGGAGACCCTTCACTCTTGGCTCACTCCAGTACTTTCTGATTGTCCACCAATGTTGTCCATAGTAGGTTTACTCCATAGTTTTTAGTCCCCCTTGAGTCTATGCAGTCTCTTCCTTGCTGTTGCTGGTCACTTCCCATCTTCCTTCTTCTCCTTCTCCTTCTTCTCCTTCTTCTCCTTCTCCTTCTTCTCCTTCTTCTCCTTCTTCTTCCACACTTGGTCCCGTGGGACTGGGTTAAGAGTTCCCTTTCCCAAAGGAAGAGTTTTGAACATCCACCACAGTTCTGGAAAGAAAGGTCAGGACCATCTGGGTGCCGTCCTCTGTCCCCAAGCTGCTCTGCCAGTGAATGCGTGATATTTTTTCCCTGTTCTCTTTGTTCCAGCTGATGCAGCAACAGGCCGCCATCATGGCCTCCGTGGCACAAGGCGGCTACCTAAATCCCATGGCAGCCTTCGCAGCAGCTCAAATGCAGCAGATGGCCGCACTCAACATGAACGGGCTGGCTGCCACCCCCATGACACCCACCTCAGGTAAGGATGAGAAGAGCATCATAGGCCAATCGGCAGCATCAAAACAGCCAAGCGGGCAGGTGGAACATTGCAATGCAAGCCCTAACCTTTCCAAAAGGGGCGGAGCTTGTATTGCCATGCTCCATCTGCCATCTCGCCCATTACGACCACCACCAACACCACCACCACCCAACACCACTGAGGCCAGTCCTTGTTGTCAGACCTGCAGAATGGTTACAACCTGTTCCAATGAAGAAGCCTGGCCACTTCAACAGCATCATTTTCGGCATAGGTGTAGAAGGTCCTACTGGAGATGGCAATGAAGCAACCGCCTGGTCCAATGACAGAAAGCAAGGAGTGGCTCACTTTCCACCTTTGATCTGATACTGGGAAGCTCAAGAGCTCCATCCTGCTAAGCACAATAAACCTTGCTCCAACAACTGAGCTCTGCTGTGGGAGGCTGAGAGTCCTTGTGAGGTAGTAAGGAAGGTGTTGGACTTGGGAGAACAGATTCAAGTCTGCCCTCAGCCATGGAAGCTCACAGGGTGACTTGGGGCCAGTCCTTCCCACAGTCCTCACAGGGTTGTTGTGGGGGGAAATGGGAGGGGGGCCCCAATTTGGAGTAGCAAAGCCTTGATACAGATCACTTTGAAATGTTTCCTATATGTGGTTGATCCATCTACTCAACCGATGAATGCAATTGATGGACGCTCTGCATTTACTCTCCTGCCCTCTAGGTGGCAGCACGCCTCCAGGCATCACTGCACCAGCCGTGCCTAGCATCCCCTCTCCCATTGGGGTGAATGGTTTCACTGGCCTCCCACCACAAGCGAATGGGCAACCTGCAGCAGAAGCCGTCTTTGCCAACGGCATCCATCCTTACCCAGGTACGACGGAGGAGGTGGCCTTGGGGAGTTTTTTCTTCTGAGTCTAGCCCAATACTTGGATCCAGAGCTTATGTTATTCTGGGTCCTTTCCCATCTGTTTTTTAAGATGCATTGGCTCTTTAATCAGAATAAGAAAGATTAATAATATACTACATCACCCCAAATTTCCAAACCAGCTCACCAGTTAAGTGGTTCCAGTGGCTTCTACTAACTGAGCTGAGCTCCTGATATCTTTATGACTTCATCCATGGAATTTTATGTGCAGCGGCATAGAAGTAGTTTTCCCCATCTTCTTCTGAAATGCCATTTGACTTCCTGGATTAGCCTACAGCAGTCTCCCATCCCAGTACTAAACAGGCTCAACCCTGCTTAGCTTTTCAAGATTATCTAAGGTTGGCTAAGTCCTGCCAGGGTGAGAAAATGAAGAGTCCCTCAAGTTGAACTCAGCTGCTGATGAATGTGTGGACATTTCTGTTTTGCTTTCTAACAGCTCTACAGAAGTGGTTTGCCAATTCCTTCTTCCCCCCAAAATGGTTTTTGTTCTCATTTTAGCCTCATCCAAATACTAACCAAGCCTGATGCTACTTAACTTCCAAAGCCAAGCAGCATTGGCCAAATGCTCTCTTCCTTTAAAGGAGAAAAGACATAGGATTTTTTTCCAGTGGTATACAATGTTCTTATTTATTTGTTTGCTTGTTTATTATTTCACTAGACTTATATGCTGCTTCAGTCATGTCTGACTTTGAGCAGCTTACAGACTTCCAACAGCACTAAGGTTAAAAACGGAAAAGATACAACAATATAACAATAAGGGCTACTCAAATGCCAAGAAACAACCCTAACTCTTATAGCAGCAGAGAGGAAAAGGCTCTTTAAATGCCAAAGGCCCAATGAACAGACACATCTTAATTGCTTTACAAAAAAGTAACAGATCAAAGTTCATCTGATGTGGGGGGGGGGGAAATGCAGTTTCAGAGAAGAGGGCAGCAAGAAGAAGAGGCCCAACTATGGGGTCCCTGCAGATGGCATTCTCAAAGGATCAAGATCCAGAGGGAACCTCCTCACTCAAAGATGGGCCCAAACCACTGGGAGATGGCAGTCTTGCAGATACCCAGGTCCTGAAGTATGAGAGGCCTTAATAGTGCCAACCTGTACCAATCCTGAAGCAGAGTAATAATCAGGGCAGCTCTGGAAGCAGAGACATTGCTAATCAGATATGAAGGTGACACAAAATTAAGAGGCCTGGCCAATACTCTGGATGACAGAACAAGATTGCAGTCAGAATGGACAGCTTGGAAGAATGGGCTGGGCGGAACAAGGTGGCAGATACACAATGGGGGACGTGGGGCTTGGAAGCACTACGTTGGAGAAGGGTTGGGTATAGATACTCAATACTGATAGTCCTCACTTACCGACGGTCACTGGGACTGGCAACTCCATCACTAAGCAACACCGTCATAAAGTGTGATGTCATGGGACTGTACCACTTAGCAACGGCAGTTCTGGCACTTCTGGTTGCCATCAGGAAGCGAATCCCACACTGTCGTTAAGCGCCACGTCACGTGGTTACCATTTGCAACCTCCTGCTGGCTTCCCCACTGACTTTGCTTGTGGAAAGCTGACGGCAAAGGTTGCAAATGGTGACCCTGTGACCACGGGATGCTGCAATGTCATAACTGCGAGCCAGTCTCCAAGCGCCTGACTCACAATCACGTGATGCAACATTTGGACCCTCAGACCAAGTCCCGGAATTTGTCTCCATCGCTGGCTGCAGCATCTGGTGCATAACCAGATTTCTACCTATCAGTGTGAAGAGTTGAAGGGGAAAACCTTTGACTTTCAGAGGGAAAAGATCTGAGTGGGGACAAAAGAAGGAACGGGGCAGCCTGCAAAATTCCCTTTTCATGACCCTTCCATCAAGTCAGAATCCTTGTCAAAGCAGCAGAGAGACCCCCGCCCCAAAGCCAAGAATGCCGGCTCAGCGCATTCTTTCAGTTATTGTAGTTATTGTTGTGTCTGAATGCCTAATTAATTGCAACAGTAAATGCACACTCCTTTAATCACTGCATCAGCTGTCCTAATCAATCTTCATAATACAGAATCGGTAGTATGGCACCCATGAATTTTAATCTACATAAATTTTGTGAAACCTCTCACAAGCTTGTTGTACCAAATGATATAATTATGGATATAGATTAGGCTTGGGGAGAATGATTTAAATTGGATTTAGGCAGAAGGTGACGTGGGAGCACTCAATTATATATTTATTTGTTTTAATCCTGACCTTGCAGAGCCTGTTCTTAAAAAGACAGTCCTCCTGTTCCCCGCTGGTTTTGGCTGCTTATAGAATTGGGGTGGTGGAACGCCTCTCCTTAAAGACTCTTATTCTGCTCACTCATTTGGGTCGTTACCAGAAAAATAGAAGCATAACGTGTGTGGAAAATAAGAATAGAGAACTAGAGAGGCTTTAAGAAGAACTGAAATAAGTTTTGCATATAGCAGCAAATTAAAAGTAGACCCCAGGTTCCACATGGAATGAGTTCGATTCTAGTGCTAAATCTGAAAGGTTTGAAGACTTTGGCCAAGCAGATGGTGATCTGAAACCAGAAAGTTGAGGTGGGCAACCAAGGCCCTTTCAGATATGGCTGAAGTGGACTTTCAACATGTGTACTAGACGTGACTGAACATCTGTGGGGCTGTGATTTCCCATCTCTGTCACAAATATGAGTGTAATTGATATTAGCCAATCCCTTCCAATGGCCACCATTCCCAACATCTCTAGTCAGCACAGAATCATAGAATCACTAAGTTGGGAGGGGCTATTGAAGCCATTGGGTCCCACCCCCTGCTCAGTGCAGGAATCAAAATGTAAGCAGATGGCTCTCCTGCCTCTGTTTGAATACAACCAATAATGATAATATTAATAATAATAGAGACCTGTGATGACTAGTTCCTCTGGCCAATTGCTCTTATCATTAGGATATTTTTCTCAACATTCTAGTAGAATCTTATACTGTCAGAGCATCATTCCCTCTTTTCCACTGAGATGATAAAGGACAGTTCTGGGCATCCTTCTCTGTGTGACATTCCATCAGGTTGTTGAAGAGCAATATCATATCTCACCCATCCCCAATCTTCTCTTCTCAAGGATAAAGCATGCAATTATCCTCACCTCTTCTTCTAGAAGAGTCATTTGACTGTCCTCATGGTCCATCCTCATTAGGAATTATAAGAAGTATCACCAAGCACACGTGAAGGCTACCAGCTGGACAGCCTTATCTTTGGAGTCAGGAAATAAGTGGGCTAAAAGCAGTATTACATCAATTTCATTTTGGCTGCTGACAGAACTGGGTCCTAGGCTGGCTGTCAAGAGTGAAATCTGGATTTGGGAATACTATGTAGATATGGAAACATGGACTGTGCATGGAAGAAGTGGTTTGGAGCTTGTGCAAGCATTATCTCTGTGCTGACCAAGCGGCCACATCACTTTCCAGGCTTCCACACACGACCAAAAACAGACGCTGATGTTTTCAGAGTTCTTTTAACAAGCTGATTCCTTAAAGCAGTGGTGTGTATTTTCAGCCCTCTTAGACCTCTTCTTCTGCATTCAAACAACTTGTTTTCAAAGCGCTAGTTAAGCGCAAACCTTGTAATTGAGTGGTATTACAAAAGGAGGTAGAAAGGTGTATTGGATTGTGTGACTTCTCCTGCTAAGTCATCCTCCTCTCTCTTCCTGAGACTTGATTACTCCATCAACTGCATCTTTGGATCCTTTGAAGGCAAAGCCCTCCTGAATATGTGGACTTTGACATTTTGGGCATTGGGCAGAGACTTTGGGAGTGACTTTAAGAGATTGACTTTGTTTGAAGGACTTGGGAGTAATTTCTTAAATGCTACCCTAATGAAATCCTGCTCCCTTTCTTAAATTTATATTGATGGTCATTCAGAAGGTCATTGGTGTGTCTCTGGATTTATGGAAGGTAGCCTGCCATTGGGTCACCTTGGCGAGGAATCCTCTTGCACCTGAGGAAACGATGTCCGAGAGACCCTTTTTCCCAGTGGATATGGAAATGACGCCATTAAGAGAGAGGCCACCTCCTTCCCTGGTAGAAGGCACTTGTCCTAATCTGAGAAGTTATTGTACTTCCAACTCTTCATTACTCACTACAGTTCAGTTAAGGAGGCATCTTGGTTTTTACCTTGAAGGCATGTTCACATAGACACACATCTTAACTGGACTGGCAGGGCACCGCTGTTTCCACCATCCTCAGAGATTCCTTCAGTGGAAGCTGTTCTAGAAAGCATATGATCATGAATCCTCTCTTTCAGTAAATCCTTCTGTGGGCAAAAGGGTGCACCAAAGATGACACAACTCTAAAATATCTGAAAAAATGTTCGACTCCTTTTTCAAGCCCAGATAAAATGCTCTGACTTTGAAATGGGCAAAAAACGCCACAAAACATCTAGCTATCAAATCTTTCATATATAAATATTCAGCAAAAGGATTCTTTGCATTACAGATCATATTGTATGCTTATCTCTGACTTTTTTTTAAAAAATGAGATAAACCAGGTGCATCTTGTAGAATAAATCAAGGATATCCAGGTTTTCCTTTTTAGACTGAGATTTACTCTCACCAAGATGCAAAGGGAGAGAGAGAGAAGGGAGGGGAGAAACACCTGCAATTCCAGGAGGAACCACATTAACAGTACAAAGGAGTTGGGGGAGGGTGTAGAATCGATTGATTGATTATGTGCCATCAAGTCATTTGCGACTTCTAGCGACTACATAGATAGATTTTCTCCATGGCGATCTATCCCTAACCTGTTCTTTCAAGTCTCCCAATGGTGCCCCCATCATGACTGTAACTGAGTCCACGCACCTTGCTGCTAGTTGTCCTCTTCTTCTCCACCTTTCCCAGCATTAGAACCTTCTCCAGAGAGCTGGGTCTTCACATAATGTGTCCGAGGTAGGATAGTTTGAGCCTGGTCATTTACGCC